TTAATGTTAAATTTAATTAGTATAATAATAATTTTATTAATTGTATTAGTGGGTGTAGCATTTTTAACTTTATTGGAACGAAAGATTTTAGGGTATGTACAGTTACGAAAGGGGCCTAATAAAGTTGGTTTTATAGGAATTTTACAACCATTTAGAGATGCAGTAAAGTTGTTTAAGAAAGAATTTTTTGTAATTTATAAATCTAATTATTATTTATTTTATATTTGTCCAATTTTTTTAATTTTTATGATATTAATGAATTGAATAATAGTGCCATTGATTACTAATATTTATTATATAAATTATTCTTTATTAATAGTGATGATTATTTTAACTATTATGGGATATATATTTTTATTAATAGGATGAGCCTCTAATTCTATATATTCAATAATTGGAGCTATACGAGTTGTAGCTCAGACATTATCTTATGAAGTTAGATTTATTATAATTATTTTAATTACTATAATTTTAAGAGAGAGTTATAGTTTATTAGATTATTCTATATGGCAAATAAATTTTTGGTATTTAGTAATGTTATTTCCTTTATTTTTAGTTTTTTTTTTAAGAATTTTGGCTGAATTAAATCGTAGTCCTATAGATTTTGTGGAAGGGGAGTCAGAATTGGTGTCAGGATTTAATATTGAATATTTTAGGGGAGGTTTTGCTTTAATTTTTATAGCAGAGTATGGCATAATTATTTTTTTTAGGTATGTATTATTGTTATTATTTACTAATATATATTTATATATATATGTAATGTGCATAATTTTAAATATTATAATTTTATTAGTTATTTTTGTACGAGGACTTTTACCTCGAATACGATATGATGAATTAATATATTTATGTTGAAAAATTATTTTACCGTTGGTATTGAATTATATAATTTTAATTATAAGTTTAAAAATTATATTTATAGTAATTATTTATGAAAAAATTAATAGAAAGATTGATTTCTTTTTTATATTTTCAAAATATATTCTTATAACAAGATCATTAATTGTATTTTAATAATTAAATATAAGATATTTTTTTTCAATAATGGTGACATCAAGGGAGAATAATAAAGAATAAGAAATAGGAAGAGGAAAAAATTTGTCTAATTGAAACATAGGGATTTTCGATAACTTGAGCATCTGCTCAAGTTAAAATAATAAAGTTATTAATGAATAATTAGTATATTAATTGGGATATAGGTCTTCAAGAAATGTGTCATGGAGTAATGAGAGGGAGAGTGTAAAGGATTAGAATAGAAGCTAAAAGAGCTAAAACTCCTCCAAGTTTATTAGGGATTGATCGTAAAATTGCATAGGCAAATAAAAAATATCATTCAGGTTGAATGTGAATAGGCGTAACTATGGGGTTAGCGGGAATAAAGTTATCTGGATCACTGAAAATATAGGGATATTGAAAGATTAAAATTGAAAAAATTGACAGGAATAATATAAAACCTAAAATATCTTTATATGAGAAATAAATATGAAAGGGGATTTTATAAGAGTTACTACTAATTCCTAATGGGTTAGAAGAACCAGTTTCATGAAGAAAATATAAATGTATAATTACTATTATTAGAATAATAAATGGGAGAATAAAGTGTAATGAGTAAAATCGATTTAATGTAGCATTATTAATAGAGAATCCTCCTCAAATTCATATTACGATTATTTGTCCTATATAGGGGATGGTAGACACTAAATTTGTAATAACGGTAGCTCCTCAGTAAGATATTTGACCTCAAGGTAGAATATATCCTAAAAAGGCTGTTGCTATGGAAATTAAAAAGATTCTTACTCCGATTATTCAAGTATGAATTAATTTGAAAGAGTTATAATAAATTCCTCGTGCAATATGGGTGTATATACAAATAAAAAAACAAGAGGCCCCATTGATATGAATATTATGTATTAGTCAGCCGTTAGAAATATTTTGTATGATATGGATGATTCTTGAGAATGCGAATTGATTGTTAGGGCAGTAATGTAAAGATAGGAAAAATCCTCTAATGATTTGAATAGCTAAAAATATTCCTAATAATGAACCAAAGTTTCATCAATATGAAATATTATGTGGGGTTGGAAGTTTTAAAAGAGATTTTTTGATTATATTCATAATTTTAATCATATTTGATTAAGAAATTTTTCGTAGAAAGGATGATTTAATTGTACATATTATAATAATAATAAATATAGCGATTAATAAGAAGAATATACATAAACAAGTAAAATTATTGTAGGGATAGAAATAAATTATGAAAAGATTTTTAAATATTTCTTGATTAAAAGTTGAGATAAATTGTGTTTCTAAATATAAGAAGAGAGGTGAATTATAGTTAAAGTTAATAAATTTTAATTTTATTATCTCAAACATGAGTGCGTAAGACAATCGCGTATAGATACGTAATCATAGACACGCACGTAGATTACAAGCACTATACATATACTCTTCTAAACCTTGCCGCGACAAGTAGCGATCTCGTTTAGAATGCCATGCCGTGGCGCGATATTTATTCACGAAGAAGTGCGTACTATATTATTTTCTGTAACGCATCACGTTTATCCTACGTTTTCATACGTTGTTTAGCCGTCTTTTCGATTATGCTAAACAGCAAAGGTATGTAAGAAACTGACAAATGTATCTACCATTCTACGCCTGTCGGTTGATCGTTTCCATCGCGACGTGAAACGTGACGAGTCGCGTACAAATGCAGAATGCGAGAAGCTTCCCTTTTGATTTTTCACGACAAGATTCATGACGTGTCGCCCAACACGTGACGGCTTTGCTACGTAAATTATGTGGCGCGGCCTGCGGAAGTATATAGCACGCAACCTTTTTACCGCACGCCCGTGAGTGAATATGAAAACGTATTTATATTAAATTTAAAAGCCGTTCCCATTCTTGTTCATATTATTCCTAACATCCCCGAGGAAGCAATAAGAAAAAATATGAGGAACTGACAACACGTTATATTAGAACGCCGGCATCAGTTTTTACAACTCTTGTTTCTGTTGCAAAAGAAAACAAAAAATTTTACGTACGTTAATATTTATATTATGACGGATATAGGGTGTACGTGCTTCTCTATGCGCCTTTTTATATTTTAAATTTTTACAAAAATGGAGGGTTAAGTTAAGCTAAAAATAGTTTTAAACTTGCAAGGAAAATAATATGGTTGATTTAAACTTATATATTTACGTCCTTTTTTGTCAATCCGTTGTAAAAACTCACGTATGCAAAGAGATTTAAATACAAACGTGGACAGTTGCTGGCGTCTTAAGAAAACAAGACTAAAGTACATTCTAACATGTAACGTAACAACGCACTCAACGCACCGCACAGACGTTGAAACCACGTTAACAACCTTGATCTCTGAACGTCCTAAGACAACCGCCCCAAAAATAAAAAGACAGAGTGATGAAAAAAATATGTACTAGATGTGCGGAGACACGTTGTGTCAACAATGTTTTCTTTTGGCAGTGGATAATTTACAAAAAAAAAAACTTAACTAAGTACTTCAAATATGTTTTTAATCTTGGCATTTCACGACGTACGTTTAAGATTCGCTGTCACGACAGCCTACACAAGAGATATCTTAAGTGCAATCGTTTCAACACATATGGCAAAAAACGGTTTAGGCATCCGTCAAATGTTAGAACGTGTAGAAACTGCAACCAGACAAAAATAACGTAAGCGTTGTAAACTATCTTATTTAAATATCACTGCAGACAGTTGGGATAGACGTAAACAATTTTTTCATCTCATCTAAAAAAGGACACGGGTAAACATTCCGTTTAGGAAACCCATCTCCGATGGCCTTAACCTTGACATATGTTGTCAAGGTTACCTTTCTGAGTGACCTTCAGAAGGTTTTAGTCGGGAATCGCTTTTTATTGAAAAGTTTGTAAAAAAAATAAAATTGGCGATCTCACCGCGTTCAACGATCTTGATATATGTTATCAAGGTTATGACCTCGTGACCTTCAGAAAGTTTTAGCTGTCGCTCGTTTGTCGTTAAAAAGTTCATAACAAAAAGAGGTTGGAAAATACGTAGGTTAGATGATGCGCTTTACAAGTCGTTACGTGTTCAAAGCACAACTAATCCATGCGTAAACTATTTCGGGGTTACTGCACTTCTCTCGACAGCAAGGGGAGGAAGGGTGTGGGTGAATCTTGATTCGCGTGAAAAGTGTATGCGTCGACTATTTCGGGGCTACCGCATCTCTCCCGAAAGCAGGGGGTGTAGATGAACCTCTGTTCGCGTGAAAAGTGTGTGCGTAAACTATTTCGACATGTATATTTGTCCGTTATGCCTTCCACGACTCAAAGAAGTAGATATATATTCCAAACTTTTTTTTTTAACGTTTTAATAAAAAGCGACCCCCGATTAAAACCTTCTAAAGATCACTCAGGAGGGTGATCTTGACAACATATGTCAAGATCAAGACCATCGGAGGTGGATCCCTTAAATGGGATGTTTACTCAGACAATCTTCAACATGGATTCACGTAGGCCAGACGTATTAATAATGGGTATTTAAAAAAATACCCAGATAAATGCTATCCGTGACTGGACATTTGGCAGGAATCCGTGAACAACATCAAGGACCTGGTGCTCAAGACGTAGAATGGACAAGTGCAGGTTTTCATTTTCATGTTGATCCAAGACTTCACAAAACGAGTTTTCTTATATACAACGTGTTCCGTAATCATTTTGAAAAAATTTGTACAACTCGCGCACGCGTGTGTCCGGCGCGTTATCTGTGTGGTGTTTCTGCACTATCTTTAGTATGTAAACACGGACGCGTTCGCGCGTATTCGATATGTTTGTAATCGGAGTATGCGACGAACGTGAGATTAACGTGTCACGGTACGAGCGAGAGGCAACGTGGATTCATGGCCGAGAGGAGATCAATGCCGACGGTTTCAAACATTAACAATCTATGGCAAACACTGGCAATGTTTGCCGGCAAAACGAATAGAGGCACGACGAGACAAACCCGCACGCCGCGACGCGCGCATCTCTTCGTGCTTGAAAAGATTTGTACATGAAAAGTGAACCGTATAACTCCCAAGCTTCTCAAGCTTGCGCGACCACGTTCATCAACGTTATTTAACGCTCGCTCAAACGTACGGCAAAACGCGGCAAGAGGCAAGACCGGTGTGGACACGGTACGAGACGTCTTCAAAAAATATATCGGCAATGTTTGGCGGTGAAACGAAGAGAGGCACGACGAGACAAACCCGCACGCCGCGACGCGCACATCTTTTCGTGCTTGAAAAAAGTTTTGCATACGTGACATGAAATGTAAAACTCACAAGTTTCCCAAGCTTGCATGATCACGTTCATCAAATTTAATTACCACGGCTTGTTAAAAATTGTGGTTTGTAAAAGTCCGTGTCGGACGGCGTACAAATATTTAACGTGCCAAAGATTCGCGAACAAGATTGTAACCTTGCTGCGCGACGACCGAAACGACGATCTCGATGGACACCGTAAAAGCTGATGGATCGATCGCGGCGGATAACAAAAAACCAACAACGGTGGAAAAAACTCGTGAAAAAATTCTTGGGGACAACTATACCATCAACGATGCGCGAGTGAAATGCAAAGACAACAAGTCGCTTGTAAATACGGATAGTTTTGATATAGATTTTAAAGATTTTGCCAAGTTATTAGAGCCCACAAGTGCAGCAACACTTGATAAAGCGTTCGCTAATGCATCTCTTTCTGTCGAGAAAAATAAATCGACAAAAATAGATTTGGGAAAAGCAGAAAGTTTGACGAGTGCAAATCTTACCGCGGTAAATGTCACTATCGCGAACAAGTTTTTCAAGGAACCGCCAAAGATCATTTACGACGAACTTATGGCGGAGCTCTTTCGCAGGATAGATATCAAGCATCTGATAGACTACGTCTGGCTCG